TACCTACCTACCTACCTACCTACCTACCTACCTACCTACCTACCTACCTACCTACCTACCTACCTACCTACCTACCTACCTACCAAAGCAACAGTTTTCATATCTCCCAAAAGCCGATGTATCTATGTTTGGGTACTAAGCCTATTTCACGACGAATTTATGGTAATTTTTATGCTGGAGCAATCAGTACTATTCCCGCTAATTGCTAGGACCTATATTGTCTACATTATTAAATATATTTTTTGCTTTATTTCATCAATAATAGTTTTAAATCAACGTGAGATTACAACGCCGGAAATTTCAAAGTATAGTCGAATCCTACGCCCCGAAGGCCAGGGCTCATTACGTATTGGCGACGAGGGAGGTGTGCGTAGGCACGAGCTATCGGCATGTGCGTGGTCGGCAGAACGGCACCATCAACGATAGTCAAATACGTTTAATCTTGATGTGCATTTCCACTCTAATACAATTTACGGTATGGGGGAAGGTGACTATATGACGTAATTGCACGCGCGCTCCCTATATACCCACCTCCCCGCATACGCGCACGTACATACAGGCCCACGTGCACGCGTGCATGCACGCACGCATGCACGCACGCATGCACGGACTCACGCGCACCCATGTTACCTCCTCACCGAGGAGAAGGCTATGTATTTGAATGATCAGAGGTCGCATCATACGTGCGTGTCCCCGTGTACTCCTAAAAGGCCTAAACGCATAATATCTGCCGCCGCGTCCTCGTGTAAGAGGCTTATATCATCTGACAGCTGGGTTCGCGGCAGCTACACGTCGATGGTGGCCTGCATTTCTTTGCTACGTTAGCAGCCGAGCCTAGGAGGCCGGCCCGACTAAGGTCGTGTATTTGCATGGCATGTCGTACGCAGTGCCGCGAGACGAAGGTTCTAAAACTGTCGATTAGCATGATGGTGCAGAAAGATGATGCGCAGCGGCACTCATCATCGCTATATAATTGTCTAGACGGGGCAATACTGTCATTATATTATTGCGGGGCGGTGTTAGTGAGACGGTAGGAGATGAAGTATCACGGAACTGTCTGATGGCCGCGAGACAGACTGCGTATGAGGGTAGCCTGCAAGAGAAATAGCTGTTTTATTAACGCTCGTCGTCGGATCAATTGTGTGAGGATGATGAATTAGCCGCTGAAACCAACCCCCGTCTGTCGCGGACACAATGAACTTGAAAATCTAACACTATCTAGAAATGTCGTTCGTGTGCGATGCGCTGAAAGGCAGACGGCGGGTAAGGTGACAGGTTAGGTATATACGCACCGCCGAGATGAGTCTGGTAGCTTGTGAAATAACACGCCCGTGTAGGTAATTGCTGCTCGAAACCTTCTGACAGTGCTAATTAATGGTTGCGTCGATGCAATCCGTCGTGTTTGCCACACCGACCAGCGGGAGGACCACGTCATTACACGAGGCCGTGGAGCTGGAAATTCCTCGAAACACGTGTAAAGTGCACTAATAAGCACTCGTATAATTATTAATTACGGGTATGTGCGGGGTCACTGGGGGCGGTTAGTATGCAGGGCCGTGAGACCTAGCGGTGATCCAGACGTGTGGCTTGAATTGCTCCTCCTGCCTTACCCCGCTTCCTACTCTTCCTTCCTCTCTTCCTCTTTCTTCCCTACCTCTGCTTCTGATTTGCTTCCACGTCATTTGCTCTTGCTACCCCCTACATCACTTTACCAGATCCCACTCTCTCTCTTATTCTCTCTCAGCTGCTCCACGTTCTCTGCTCCTTCTTCCATACTCCTTACTATTTGCAGTCGCATATCGAGGTTTACTATTTGTGATCAATTTTCCTGTGAAAAATGTTCCGTGTGACCAATTTTCTTATTACAAATTTTCCTACCGTTTATGTGCAGATCGTTGCTGACCATAACTACACAGATTGTATGTATTACTATATGAAAAAAACACTTTATTTGCCTATGCTACTCCCAAGAGATAAGTGCCCATATATTCTCAATAAGTATAGTTTGAAATCATTATGGTATGTTAAATGACGCCGATTTTCTTTAAAAAGGCGGCATTATTGACCCTATTCAACACGGATTCCGATTTTGACCACTTTTGGGGACAGAAATCATCCGAGGACGCTCGAACGTGATTTTTGTGTGCGATCAATCGCCTAACCTAGTTTTGCAAATACCCATACATTCAACCGGTGGCGGAAAGCGATGTGGCGTGTAATTCACACTAGTCTACGGATTACAATTCGCAATTATTTGCTTTCGTCGCTCGCATTGCATCACGTGTAAACCTTACTTTGCCGGGGGACTCTCAGTCGTGGCACGTGGGGTCCGCTGGGTGGGAGCAGTAGAGGTAACGTAGCATCAAGAGCGTATTAAGAAGAGTACTTCTTATTACGCTCTTGGTAGCATGGAATACACACCCTCTGTCGCAACCGTCCCTCCTCTACATTGCGAATCATGGACAATAAAGGTCAACTCCGAGTCACAGTGACGAAGCGACCTGGTAGACATGCCCGTGTCCATGCCCATGTGCAATGGTAGAGTCACTAGAGTGGTAGACGCTTGCCGCGGGGGTGTATATACTACGCTACAGTGGCATCCCGGCAAGCCGTTCCTGATAAGAATACGGATTACTCCGTACCTAGGCAGATCACCTCCCTAGGGGAGAAGACCAGATACTGTCGCCTCGCGTTGTAAAAATCATGACACCGGGTAATCGGGCGGTCACTCTCATCCTTGCTAGGCCATAAACGAAAGTGCCGGTGTAAAGCATTTTGAATATCATAAAAAAAGCGAGGCAGGTGGCTGGCGGCTGGCTACTGTCATATTGTGACTCTCGTCTTTTGTTGTCGCCCAGTAACTCTACCCGAAAATGAGCCGATAGTTCAAAGCTATGCGCTCACACGCACGCCTATAGTTACCCTCGCGCAGTTAGATTGAGTTTATCGGAGCGTTATCTGCCACCTTTGCCCATGATTCTTACTAGCCGCATAGGTGTGACTAACAACACAGCAGTGTGCAGCTGTATACAATTTCTACATAAATTTGTTTATTATAAATATGTTGTATATACGAAATGTAAATTTACGAACAATCTTTCGCCGAGCAACCGGGAGAGCAACCGTTCTCCACAGTTCTGTATATATGAGAGATACGCAACGTTGCATCCGTCTTAAAACTTGTCGTTGCGAAGGCAAATCAATGCAAAGAGCATGCACGCGCAGACGCTCGATACCCCGCAGCGGCGCTTCCATAGTATGGTCGGTCGCTGCTTTATAGCTCGACTGTATATTACACACGTGGGTAATACCGCCCCGTAAAAGACAGACGATCAGTGCAGGGGGATCTTTTTGTCATTTATGGTTTCCCACGGTTTAGTGTGGGTACAGTGCGAACGGTCGTAGTAGAGAGCAGAACAACTTCTGCAGCTTCTCTACACGTGAATAGCTGCTGTAGGGTTGCCAGGCAATAGCGGCTGGTCGGCACATGCCTGCTGTGTTAACTGTTAACGCCAGTGACGAGAAGCGCACATCGGGACCACGCTTACAATATTATTTACGACGCGTGGGGTGCTATTGTTAAGGGCGTGTGCGAAGAGAGCGCGCTAATAGGGAGTGAATCTACGAAGCGCCCACGCCAGCGAGCCCAACGCTTTCTTGTCGATTACGAAATCAAACACGTCCGCGGTAAACTTGAAACGACGCAATTACGTGGAGCGCGCGTAATACCTATCGACACACCAGATGCCGGAGATGTGTGTCAGTGTTTTGTTGAGTGATCGCGGCCCATACATATTCACTCGCACTCAAGCATCTCTATATTAAAATCGCCCGCAGCCCCACAAAGCGCCATCATTCGAGGAGCCCGTGAATGATATTCCAAAGACATCAGATCCTCCGCTACGCGCATCTCAATGATAAGTATTTATTTGCGTGCGATATCTGATTGTTTGCTAGCGGAGCATGGAAACGAACACGTGCGCTGCGCGAGAGCCGTTATGAACGCGTCGTACCGGAGCCGGTGATCTCATTCGCTTGTTGCTTGTTGTTTCGCAGAGGTGGCAGCGGCGCTGGTTCGTGCTCTACGACGATGGAGAACTCACCTATTCGCTCGATGAACATGTAAGTACCTGCAGCGAACGCAGCCAGGTAACTGACGATCCCTAGCCAGGTAGATGTTGATATTTAATTTAGCCACGTAGCATATGATGTTTTGCCAGGTAGCATACTTTGCCCGGCCACGTTGCATACGATGCCCAGCCAGGTAGCGTATGATGCCCAGCCAGGTAGCATATGATGCCCGGCCAGGTAGCATATGATGCTCAGCCAGCAAGCATATGCTGTCTGGCCATGAAGGTAGCGTACGACGCCCGGTCATGCAATGCTTGGTGAATGTACCTATCGATCTTTCTTTCACCTAGCTTTGTTTCTATACTGCTTTCATTATTTAATAATCGCTCGTTAATGTTTCACGTGTAGCAGTTAACAGCTATCAAATTTTAAGGTGAAACACTCAGTAAGTTAGTAGTGAGACGGGCAGTGATTGTTACATCGCCGCCGTCGTGTGTGGACGCCGACTGGCGATGTAATGACTAATGAGACACTTTTCTCACGTATATATTCGTCGCCGTGTATTGCTGTGCGGTGGGTGGGATCTGGTGTTGAATATCTGTCATTTGTTTGTTGACCTGATTTTTATGGTTGCGGTGTACGTGTGAGCTGTTCCTCTACGGCTAGATTGCCTCTTTCTTTTGCGTTGCCATTTCCCTGCTAACGTCTCATTCCCGACAGTTGTTATTTGTACCAATCACGTGAGATCTTCGCTAGCAGTCGTCGTTAGTACTTCTTACCGCGCTCGAACCCGCGAACATAACCTGTTATTTCTTCAGCTCGATCGCTTATAACAGCTGCACATCCTTGTTCCCAGTCACGACTGGCAGTGGTTTACTGCGCACGTCTCTAAATATACACAAGTGGGTGTTCTCCAGATTTTCACTCTTATTAGAGACTATTTTCGAGGCGTGCGAGATCTTTTCGCAAAGGCCATTTTCGCGTTTACCGAACTCGGGCGCACGTCTGTAAAATCACATTTCAAGGCGATCGCTAAACCCCCGCGCCGTCTCTGCTGGCGTCGTGCCAAAATCACATTGGCTGTGTGGATCCGGAGTTTGTTGAGATGGAAGATTTTACGTCCAGATAAAGAATTTCGATAGACGAAGAGAGAATTTCGTTTTTCGCACGAGTTTTTGTCTACTTCATGGGCACGTACGCGTCGTTGTTGCGTCGGAAGACGACTGCTCGGATATTCATTGCATAATTGTGATGCTTATCTGTCTCATTCCATCTTGATGGGCGTAAATTCTTGCATGCATAAAAATTAGCATACCGGGAACTGTAAGTCTGGATCAGCAGCATTCGGACATTGTAAGTCTTGATCAGCAGCATCCGGCCACTGTAGGTCTGGATCAGCAGCATCCGGGTACTGTAGGTCTGGATCAGCAGCATCCGGGTACTGTAGGTCTGGATAGGCAGCATCCGGCCACTGTAGGTCTGGATCAGCAACATCCGCCCGCTGTACGTCTGAATCAGCAACATCCGGCCGCTGTAGGCATGGATCCCTGCGGGGACTGTAGGTCTGGATCAACAGCATCCGGATCCTTTCAGTCGTCGAACCGATGCCATTCCTAGGGTCGGCTTTTTCCAGTATCTTTATTTGCTTTGCACCAAGGATGAGTAAGAGACGCGTAGAGTTTCACAGCGGCACGTCAGCACCGCGCGCATTTTTATTTGACGTTGTTCGTGAGCGACGGGGTCTGCCGGAGAGCGCGGGCGAGGCCGGGATGATTACCGCTGCGTGTAGAGTTTGCTCACCCAGCATTGTATGCCGCCGCGAAGTTTCTGTGTGGCCTTCTCTTACACCCCTTGCGCCCTGCAATACAGGGCGCACCCATCCAGTTGCAGGTTTAGTCGCCTCTCGCCCTCTCTCTGTCTGTCTCTGTGTCGCACACGCACACGCACGCACACACACACGCACACACACACACGCACACACGCACACGCGCGCGCGCGCGCGCGCGCACGCACACGCACGCACGCACGCGCACGCACACGCCCTCCACACACACACTGCCATGCGTTTTATCTTGCTCACACATTCTCTTCTGCATGTCGTCTCATCTGGTCTCATAGATATGCACAGCGTCATCGTCTTTGCCTCACATGCGTTTCCTTTATCAGTAGGCCTACTGTCGTTTGCCAATAGGATACAATCAAGATCTTGATACAATGTTTGCATTACGTGCTGATCGTGACAGTGGAAAGGAATCTTAATTCTACAATTTCCACCGCATCACACTCTCTTGCCATTAGCTTTGAAATAACTTTGGTACTTATCAAATAACGCAGACACGTTGCCTCAAAGCCGATTGCGTGTGCCATATGGCTTGATTCAGTGTTTAAATTTATTTCAAAGCTGAGGATTATTTGAGGATTATTTCAAGGATTTGATTCATAATTCGGAAATGCGGATCTGCCCCTGCGTGAGGAAAGCCGAACTTATTTTTTTTTTCGGAAACTGTTTTTTTTTCAAAAATTTCCGAGAGAGAAACACGTGCGTCGTATGTGATCCTCGTTCAGTGATGCCTTCTTGTTTCACAAGGCCGCGCGCACTGCTTGCAAGAGTGCGCCACTCGCCTCTCGCAGGGGCGCATGCTTTTTTGTCTATACTCACACACGAGGTAGCGTAAGGCCAACATGTTCCGCTTGCATCTATGACAAATACGACATACGCTTATACGCTCTCCTATGACACTATTTGTCATAGGAAGATTCTTCCTATGACAAATCTTGGCGAGTCAACTTCGTTCCGCTATACAGCTGAAATTCACTGCTTGCGTTCATAATAGCGCTCCTAAACTCTGCGCACAACACATACAACAATATTTGTCATAGGAACAAATAGTGTCATAGGAGAGCGTTTATGCGTATGTCGTATTTGTCATAGATGCAAGCAGAACACACTGGTAAGGCCTATGTTCGTCACATGACGGCACCACTCACTCTAACATGATGCCATCACGAGTGTATCAATACACTCCTGATGCCATGCCATCACACTGCAGTCCTTAACATAGCTAATCCAATCGGAAAACGTGTGTGCCGGATCTGTGGACGTATTAAGATTAACATGGTCATTGACTCGCCATCGCCTGTCTCCCATCACCGAAGCGGCAATCACCATGAAGAGCAAAATGGGGTTGTTGTTCGTTCGCGTTGTAAATCATGGAGGGATTAGGCGGAAGACCACCGGAAGGTTCAAGCTGTTCCGGGGGCAAAGCAGATAAGCATTCAGCGAACACTCAGCTAGAGCGTAATATGAGTTCAGTGGACATGTGGTTTTTTTGGCGGTGGGATAGTAGCCACGAATATAGACCATCGGTAGCCGGTTGTTATATGCGCCGTTAAATGTCATCCATCAACGTAACGAGTGGTCTGTACAGGGTTAAAAAAAATTTCCGCAACGAAGCCAGCCGCCTGTTGACGTTATGTGTTTTTTTGCGTATATGCGTGAAGCTATTCGTGTTGGCTATATACATACCGATACTGATTTACTTCTTTATATATTATTATCATTATAATGGGCGACACAGCACACTCGCAGCGGAGAGTGCGGGAGCGTTCGGCGTTAGTTTTTATGAAGGAAAGTTGATAACTTGATATACAGTGACACAACAGCGGAACTGTAATTGAGAGGTACGGTAGTATTTGTGAATGTGCGTTCATATTATTTTCAGTTTTTACCGACTCTGTCCCAAGTGCCTGTGATCGGGTGAACCTACAGCGCACAGGCACTTGGAACGTCTCAATAAAAAAAATTAATGGTAAATAAACCCGAAATGTACCAAAGTCTTAATGTTTCTCTACTCGATTTCGCTTATAATCACCTGTAAATGCCGGTCAAATGCTCATCTGCAACACACAAGTACACCGCACGCTCGCCCCGTGCTGCGTGCACAAACAACATGAATAAGAGACTCCCTTATTCATGAAGTCTCTTATTAAGGGAGTCTCTTATTCATGTTGTTTGTGCACGCAGCACAGGGCGGGCGTGCGGTGTACTTGTGTGTTGCAGATGAGCATTTGACCGGCATTTACATGTGATTATAGGCGAAATAGAGTAGAGAAACATTAAGACTTTGGTACATTTCGTGTTTATTTACCATTGATTTTTTTTTATTGAGACGTTCCAAGTGCCTGTGCTACAGCGGTGCTCTCCCGTGCTAGCTTGCTCTCTCCCGACCCAGCTCGAGCGCTCTGCCCGGCTTCTCTCGTTCGCCCACTTCTCCATCAATCCTCCTGTCTCTCTAATCAACTAATGCCGATCTGTGTCGAAGCTAACCTAGATCTCAGGCTGTGCTGCGCGCGTTTCAGTCGAGTTGCCTGCGGCGCAAGTAGTCCTTGGCATTAGCAAACATGAGGTAACGCCTCGCGTTGAGTGTCTGCATCTGAAATCAGAATCTAAACTAGGTATAGGCGTCTTCGATCACGAGTGAAAGCTGCGATGACAGCTCTGTAGGCTCTACGTGTGCGCACTGAGTGCGATGAGAGGACGGTCGGGCGAAGTGAAGAGAGGGAGAGAGAGAGATCGGGCGAAGTGAAGAGAGGGAGAGAGAGAGATCGGTACATCGACAGAGAGAGAGAGAAAGAGAGAGGGGGGGGGAGCGTGAGAGAGATACAGAGGCGCAGGAGAAGAGTGGGGAAAGAAAATCAGACAGATTGGAGGTATAAATAGAGACAGAGAAGACACGGAGATAAATCGCGAGAGAGAGAGAGAGAGAGAGAGAGAGAGAGAGAGAGCGAAAGAGCAACACACGCAAAACGAGAGAGAGAGAGAGAGAGAGAGAGAGAGAGAGAGAGAGAGAGAGAGAGAGAGAGAGGAGGGAGGGAGGGACATAGAGAGATACATAAAGAGAGGGAGGGAGACGAAGACTGACAGTATAGGTGTAATTTACCTGACAATGGCGGGCGGTGCGTCCACAGTCAAGGCACGCTTCGATGAGAGGTGTGCGTGTGCGTGTGCGTGTGCGTGTGCGTGTGCGTGTGCGTGTGCGTGTGCGTGTGCG